CTTATAGATATAATGCATAGCACCCACCATGGCCTGGAAAGTGGGAGAAGCAGGCTAGGTACACACACACACACACACTCACACACATACACACTGCAAGAAAGCCACACACACACACACCCCCACTGCAAGAAAGCCGGTAGCGAAAGCATGCTGAGCAGACGGGGGAGTGGCAGTAGAGTGAAGTTAGAGAGGTAGCCAGGGGTCAGATCATGCAGTGCTTTCTTGGACACTGCAAAGAATTTGGATTTTATTCAAAGTGTCATGGAAATCACTTATTGAAGGAATTTACATAGAAGTGTAAATATGATCAATTTGAGTTAAAAAATCTAGCTTGTTGTCAAGAACAAATTGGAGTGGGCAAGAGTACAGGAGGTCAGTTTGGAATCTGTTAGAATAGTCCAGGTGAAACCTCATGGTATTTTGGTGGCAGTGGAGATGGAGAGAAGTGGGATGGTTTTGAAATATATATTTTTCAATTTTTTACATTGAGATAAAACTCACATAAAATGTACCACTCTAGGGCCTGGCTCCGTGGTCGAGTGGTTAAGTTTGCACGCTCTGCTGCTGCGGCCCAGGGTTCGGATCCTGGGCGCGGACATGGCCCCACTCATCAGGCCACGTTGAGGCAGCATCCCACATCCCACAACTAGAAGGACCTGCAACTAAGATATACAACTATGTTCGGGGGGTTTGGGAAGATAAAGCAGAAAAAAAAAAAAAAACAACTAAACTAAACCTTTAAAAAAATAAAAATAAAATGTACCATTCTAATCTTTTTTTTTTGGAGGAAGATTAGCCCTTAGCTAACATCTGCTGCCAATCCTCCTCTTTTTGCTGAGGAAGACTGGCCCTGAGATAACATCCATGCCCATCTTCCTCTACTTTTTTATATGTGGGACGCCTACCACAGCGTGGCTTTGCCAAGCGGTGCCATGTCTGTACCCGGGATCCAAACCAGCGAACCCGAGGCCACCGAAGCGGAACGTGCGAACTTAACCACTGCGCCACCTGGCCAGCCCCTCTTTTCTGTTTCTTTTATCCACCAATCTTCGGGTCATTCTCCTCTCTCACTGAAGGCTTGAGTTCTTGGCTCATAGTCTTCTTTCGCACCCCGACTCCTGTCATCATCCTGGGCAATTTCATCTAAAGCAAGAATCCGTCCAATTCCCATGTCTCAATCCCTGGATCATGTCATCATCCCCAATGCCTTTCCATCCACTCTGCCTCCAATCACTTATTGCAGTGGGTACACCAGAGATCTGCACCAATTCCAAAATCTCAAATTAGAACATCCATCCACTAAATATACTTTAATAGACTTTCACTTCATTTATTTGTTCAAGTAATCCCTCAGTTCTTCAACTTACAATCTACTGATGCATCACCTTTTAATTATCTATCAGTCACCCTTATGTCCCAACACCACCTTCAAGATTACATGATACATCATTATAGTCACCCCTACGCATAAAGAGTTTTAACACTCTCCTCCTCCATTGGACTCAGTTGGCAGAACACCAATCTTGGATAAACCCAATCCTCTGTATTCCTCAGCTAAACATTACCGGAGAAAAATCATGTAACGTATCGACTGATTTCACTTTAAATTCATAATGATAAACCTCAAACAGACATCAGCACTGTAGAGCAAGCCTGCATCTCCTGATCCAAACTGCACCCCACCCAAGACTACTATTGCACATTCTTCTTCTCTCCTCAAACTTCTTATGAGCCTCCCTTACCTTCAGCTCCTGTCCTTTGCTCACGTACTGCCATCAGATGAGAAGTGTTCTTTATTAAGAAAATAAGAGCTTTTGGAAAGAAACTTTCTCATCCTTCCATCATTAAATTCACACACTTACCTGGATTTAATCACCTTCTCTCCCTCCACTACCTCCACCCCAAGCCTCGAATTCACTCATCTCATTATCTCATTAAAGATCAATCTCTCCACTTGTGTTCTATGTCCCTTTGGCTCTTACCTTCACAAGGACTTCACTCCTTCACTTTTCTTCACCTTCTCCTGCATTACAACCTCTCCCTCTCTTAGCTTCCATGACATACGCTCTTGGTTTTTCGCCATCCTCTCTCGTCTGTCCTTCTCAGTATCCTTTGCAGATTCCTCCTGCTCTGCAGTCTCTCTTTGTTAGCATTCTTTGGCCTCTCGATTGTGCTCTCTTTTGTCTATCTCTACACATTTCCCCTAGGTGTTCTCACCAGTCTCAAAGCTCTAATACAATCTATATCCTGCTGATACCCAAATCTTACCTCCATCTCAAACTTCTCCCTGGATTCCAAATTCGTACATCAAATTGTCTACACAATATGCAGAAAAGTGTCACACTTAAACTTAAGTTCAAAATCTGAACTTTTGACTATCCCTTACATTCTCCCACCCCAAATCACAACAGCCTCCCTCATTTCAGTAAATGCTGTCAGCACAAACTCAGCTTGATTCTTCTTTCTCCTTCATACCGTCTACCTACTCCCTTAATAGGTTCTATGTGTCTATTTCAAAAACATACTTCAATGGAAAAAGAACAGCCTCTTTAGCAGATGGTGCTGGGACAACTGGATAGTCACATGCAAAAGAATGAATTTGGACTCCTACCTCACACCATATACAAATATAATTCAATCCAGATTAAAGACCTAAATGTAAGTCTAAACCTGTAAAATTCTTGGAAGGAAACATAGGTGTAAATTCTTCATAACCTTGGACTAGGCAGTGATTTCTTAAATATGACACTAAAAGCACAAGCATCAAAAGAAGAAACAAATTGGGCTATATAAAAATTAAGAACTTTTCGTGCTTCAAAGGACACTATCAAGAAAATGAAAAGACAAACCACAGAATGGGAGAAAATATTTGCAAATCATACATCTGATAAAGATCTATTATCCAGAATATGTAAAGAATTCTTACAACTCAGTAATAAAAAGACAAGCAATCTGATTTAAAAATAGGCAAAGGATTTGAATAGACATTTCTCCAAAGAAAATATACAAATGGCCAAAACACACATGAAAAGATGTTCAATATCGTTAGTCATTAGGGAAATACAAATCAAAAATCACAATGAGATACCACTTCATACCCACTAGGATGGCTATAAATTTTTCTTTTTTTAAATAACTGAAAATAAGAAACGTTAGCAAGGATGTATAGAGACTGGAACTTTCATACATTGCTGGTAGAAATGTAAAATGATGCAGCTGTTATGGAGAACAGTTTGTCAGTTTCTCAAAAATTAAACATAGAGTAAACCTTCTGACTCAGCATTTCCATTCCTAGGTGTACCCCAAGAAACTCAAAACATATGCTCACATAAAAACTTGTATGTAGGTGTTCACAGTAGCATTATTCATAATAGCCAAAGAATGGAAACAACCCAAATGTCCATCAACTGATTAACAGATAAACAAAATCCATACAATGGAATATTATTCAGCCATAAACAAGAATGAAGTACTGATCCATGCCACAACATGGACGAACCTTGAAAACATTATGCCAAGAGAAAGAAGCCAGACATAAATGATCACCTGTTGTGTGAATCCATTTATAGGAAATGTCCAGAACAGGCAAATCTATAGAGACAGAAAGTAGATTAGTGGTTTCCAGGACTTGGGGGTAACAGGGAACTGAGAAGTATGGGGCTTCTTTGGGGGATGGTGGAAATGTTATGGAAGTAGATAGTGGTTATAGCTGCATAACATTGTGAATATATGGGAAACCACATAATTGTGTACTTTAAAATGGTTAGAATGGGGGCCAGCCCCGTGGTACAGCGGTTAAGTGCGCACGTTCTGCTTCGGCGGCCCAGGGTTCGCCGGTTCAGATCCCGGGTGCAGACATGGCACCGCTTGGCAAAGCCATGCTGTGGTAGGGGTCCCACATATAAAGTAGAGGAAGGTGGGCATGGATATTAGCTCAGGGCCAATCTTCCTCAACAAAAAGAGGAGGATTGGCAGCAGATGTTAGCTAAGGGCTAATCTTCCTCAAAAGAAAAAAAAAAGAAACAGAAAAGAAAGAGGAGAGGATGGTGTAGTTGGATGGCTTGGGTCTCAAGGGAGCAGGGATTTTTGCAAGAAAGGAGAAGTAATAGTTTGAAAGTAGCAGGGACAAGAATACCTACTTCAGCTCCTGGGTTTGAAGATTTGAGGTTAAAAAGAAAAAAGAAAAAATCTTCTAGACAGCAGAGAAAGCAGTATCCTCAATGGCCAGCAGGTTTCAATTAAGACAAAGAGGTAGAGGGAATGTGTTTTATAAAGAAGTGATGATTTATGGAAGTTTGCTAATTAGTGCAGGAGTTCCAGAGGGGAGTGGAAGGTTCAGGAGGGAGGAGGGTTAGGTGTGTAGGAAGGATGGGGTATATATAGAGAGCGCGGTGTGGGTATGGTGGTTAGGGCAATAATGAAAGGCCAGGGACCCTTGAACTTCAGTGCAGGTGACTGAAGTAAACAGAAATACTGTATCATGGAATTAGTACCCCATGGTCTCTGAGAAGGCAAATATTTGGTTCCAGGGCTACAGGCCTGAATGCTTCCTCAGAGAGTATGGCAGCTTCCCATGCAGCTTATCCCAAGGTCTCAAGGAACGATGTGGCAATTTTCAGGGAGGGCAGCTGATGCCAAGGTCTCATGATGACTTTTCCAAGGTCATACTGAGTAAGTAGCAGAGCAGATCTCCTCACACCAACATCAGGTCCGCTCACCACTCTGGTTTGTTTATTTTGGTGGAGTGCTCATTTACCTTATTGCTGGCAGAGCTGGATCTGTTAAACCATTAGAAAATGAAAATTAAAAGGAAAAAACCCTTAAAACTAGACAGTGTTTCCACTTTGGGACCAGTCCAGGCTCATTAAGCAGGTCTGTGCAAAAAGGATGAGAAATGGCTGTGCTGCACACAGGCCCTGGAGAGCATTATTCTGGCCCAGTAAGGTCTGCGTCACTGTGACTGCGTGCTTTACCTTGTGCATGTGCTCTGTCCACAGGGTCATGTAGGCACAACAGCAACCAAGAAGATCGACGTCTACCTCCCCCTGCACTCAAGCCAGGACAGACTGCTGCCAATGACCGTGGTGACAATGGCCAGCGCCAGGGTGCAGGACCTGATCGGGCTCATCTGTTGGCAGTACACAAGCGAAGGACGGGAGCCGAAGCTCAAGTAATCCTCCTTCTTTTTGGCTGCTCTAGTTTCTGGCTGTTTCCTGGCCACCCATTCTGCATTCTGGGCCCGGTCAGTCTTTCTAGGCATTGGCCTGAGAACCAGACGTCCACACTGATCCAGGTCAGGTTGCTCACCCGATCTTGCACCTGTGTACCTTGGCTTATCTCAGAGAATCTGCTTGCAAACTAGATTGATAAGTTTATGAATCCAGGCGTGAGGAAATGCATCGTAGCAGTTCCCAAACCCTTTTGTGATGCTTGCTGATAAAAGCAGCTTAGAAGGTAGTGGGAGGGAAGTAATAGTGTTGGACAACTACCATGAGTTGGGCACTGTACTGGGCACTTCATACCTGGTTTCTCATTTAATTTTCCCAGAGCTGAGGTGAGCATTATGCTCCTCATTCTGCAGAGGAGGAAACTCAGGGTCAGAGAGTTGTTATTTGCTGAAGGTTACACCAATGGGAGATGGCACAGTCAAGCTTGGATTCCCAGTCTGTTTGATGCCAAGGTTTTTGCTTTATTTCTGTTGCTCTGAATTACAGTTTCCTTTGTTATCAGTCAGTGGCTTGGTTTTTCTCTTAGTCACTAGGCTCTCCTCCTCATTAAACAGTTATGTTAAAAATGTAGCGCTTGAAAGTAAAGGCTCTGTGTCTGTACGTCATAACTTGAATTTTGAAGTGCTTTGCTGCATTGGTTCTCCCATCCTTGAATTTCTTATCTGACAGGCACCTTCTTCTAGCTTCATGTGCTCTTCCCAGCAGTAGGGTTTGGGATACAGCAAAATGGATGCCTTCCATTTGTGGGTGCCTTCATTTTGGAAATGTATTCGCATGGAGGCTCTCTCTTCTCACATTTTCAGAGGCAGAATGATCCAGTCTGCTGTTGTTTTGTTTTTCTTTAGGTGCATTAAATTTGCACTTAAAATTACTCTTTCACGTTCTTATTGACATTGCCATCCACATTGCCTGAATAAATTGTGAGTATAAAGATAATCTTTATTGCTCCTGTAGCAGTAGAAAGCCTTTTCAACCAGGATACCACCTAGGCTCAGAAAAGTGTTGTCACCAGTTCTGCTTAGGTCTGAGCCATGGTGTTGGGCCTCTTCAGCATGAAGTAGAAGCAAGAAGACACAAAAGAGAGTCACAGTGATGTTGTCTGAGTTAATCCTTAAAACAGTGCTTAGTGCAGGAACTGAAACCAAGAGAGGCAAAGGAATTGCTCAGGGTTACACAGCTAGGAAGTAGCAAAGACAGAGTTGAATTGTGACATACATGTTACAGATGAGGAAACTAGAGCTTAGAGAGGCTAAATCACACAGTAGGTGATAGAAGTGGTCTTTAAACCCAGGATCTGGCTCCAGAGCCCTGGATCTCCACTGTTGCCTTATACTCCCTTCCATGGAACTCTGTTATGGTGATAGTAAAACATTTATTGAGTCTGTAGTTATTGCAGGCACTGGGCTAGATCTGCACATAGAGAAGTGAAAAAGGCAGTTCCTGCCATCGAGGAGCTTATTGTCTAAGATTAATAGGCAATCATGATGTAAAACAATAAAAACGCAAAGTAAAGTCAGGTTCTGTAAGAAGATCTGACTCCATATTTGGTGACTAGAGTGGAGTCATGAAAAGCAGCCTCGATTAAGTGACATCTAAACTGAAACCTGAAGGAGGAGTAGGAAAAGTGATGCAGAGAGGTTGAGAGGAGGGTATTGTAAACAGAGGGAAAAGCGTGAACTTCCAGTTATGATGGCCCTTTAAATTTCTGCTTCAAAGTCTGTGTTCTGCTCCAGACACATAGTAATGATAAATGAAATGTGTTATTGACACGCTTGTACTTTAATAACAAGATAAACATCCTAGTGGGCCGGAAACAGAGCCAAGCACAGAAATAGGCAGAGTGTGCTAGGAGTCAATTCTTCTAGAGTATTACTTCCCAAAGAACATGCTGTGAATGAGTTTACCAGTATGTGAAATAATAACATATCAAGATAATGTAATAATTCTATGAATGCATCAACCAACATATTCTCATATTTTAAGGGAACTATAAAGGGGCATTGACTGTTCCACAGTCAAAATGGGAAATACATTCCTATCAGAAACTGATAAACGAAGCAGACCAAAAATTAGTAAGGACAAGGAAGATTCAAACCATTTAATTAGCAATTCTGAACCCCCAAAAGAGAGATTGTCTTTTATACTAGTTTGAAAGCTTCTGAAGTTGAGTACATCTTAACATTTATATTCCTGAGGGTACCTAGCATGTTGACATTTTTTAATCGTTGTTCTGTTTGTACTTAAGTGTTAGAATAGATCCTTATTTGATCTTTTCCAGTGGGTTGACCCTGTGGAAGAGCTCTTCATTTATATGAGACCAAATTGCTAGATGAATGGAAGAGCTTTCCTCCAATTCAGCCTGGTTGTCAAGAAAACCATTTATTTAAGAATATCATTCTCCTGTCTCTGTGCCTTGAAAATGGTCTCTGGTAGTAGACTTTGGCTCCAGGGGAGGAATGGAGAATTTGGCTGGAGTTCTTGGCTTCCTTTACACTTATACCTGTTAACTCCTGAGAAAGATTGGAATGTGGTATTTAAGCTGATTCCTGCTTGTTTTGATGCACTGATTTTAGGGGAAATATTTGAAAGAAACTGAAATAATTTCATTCTCTAGGTAGTTGAATTTTTTAATTTAGACTTTGTTAAATTCATGTTTATTGAATTTTTATCAGAAAATGTAGCCTATATAATTTCTACTTAGAGATTTATTTATATTTTGGGGGCATACTAGACAAAAAATTTTTTATAAATATTCTGTGGATTCTGGAAAAAAATTATCCTCTATAGGTTACAGAATTCAATATATACTTATAAGTCACCATCTTTAATTACTCTTTTGTTTGTGCATTTTTTGACTGTTCTGTGGATGATTAAGAGAAATGGATTGAAATTTCTATTTTCTTGTGTTTGTCAATTTCTCTTGCGATTTCAACAGTTTCCACTTTATATGTATTAGTGCAGGAAAAAATCATGCATTTCATATCTTTATTGTGAATTGTACTTTTTTCAGTATGAAACACTCCTAATGTTTTATTTATGTATTGTGTCCTGCCTTTTTCTTTGCTTTATTTCAGTAATAAGAACTTTTCCCCCATTCTTCTTTGCACTTGTCTGATGTATCTTTGTTCAACCTTTTACCTTTTTTACCTTTATCTTTTTGTTTTAGATATGCTGAATAATTTTCTGAGGTTTTTCTTTTTTGACCCAATCTAAGTCACTGTGTTTTCATAGGGAAGTTTATCTTACTAACATTTATTGTAACCACTGATATGTTGTTTTTGTGTTAGTCAACTTGGTTTAAGCTTTGTTTTTTATACTTTCTTTTTTATTTCAATTTATTTTTAATTCTGAGGCTGGTTACTTGTAAGATTTTTAAAAAATTTCTAATAGACTATTTTTTAGAGTAGTTTTAGATTTACAGAAGTTACAGAGATTCCCACATATCTCCTTCCTGCCCCTCATTTCCCCCTGGTATTAGCATCTTGCCTTAGTGCAGTACATTTATTACAATTGGTGAACTGAGGTTGATACATTATTTATTAACTAAAGTCAGTAGTTTACATTAGGTTACATTCTTTGCCTTTTACAACTCTAATGATTGTATCACATAGAGTGGTTTCACCACCTTAAAAATGCCCTGTGCTCCATCTATTCATTCCCCCCTGTTCCCACCCCCATCTCTGGCAACCACTCATCTTTTTGCTGTCTCTATAGTTTTGCATTTTTCAGATTGTCAACTGGAATCATACTATACGTAGCCTTTTCAGACTGGCTTCTTTCACTTAGCAATGTGCGTTTAAGTTCCCTTCAAGTCTTTTTGGGGCTTGATAGCTCATTTTTCATATTGCTAAATGATATTCCATTGTGTGGATGTATCACATTTTGTTTTTTCATTCATCTATTGAAGGACAGCTTGGTTGCTTCCAATTTTTGGCAGTTATGAACAAAGCTACTATAAACATTCATGTACAGGTTTTCATGTGGACGTAAGATTTTTCAATTCATTTTGCAGATGCCTAGGAGCACAATTGCTGGATTGTCTGGTAAGCCTCTGTTTAGCTTTCTAAGAAACTACCAGACTTTCTTCCAAAGTGGTTATACTCTGTGCCATTGCCATCAGCAATGCATGAGAGTTCCTGTTCCACATCCTCACCAGCATTTGGTTTTGTATGTGTTTCGGATTTTAGCCATTCTGTGTGCAGTAGTATCTCATTGTTGTTTTGATTTGCAATTCCCTAATGAGGTACGTTGAACATCTTTTCATATGCTTATTTGACATCTGTTTGTCTTCTTTGGTAAGCTGTCTGTTCAGGTCTTTTGCCTACTTTTTTAATCAGGTTGTATTTTTTTGTTTTTTAAAGATTTTATTTTTCCTTTTTCTCCCCAAAGCCCCCTGGTACATAGTTGTGTATTTTTAGTTGTGGGTCCTTCTAGTTGTGGTATGTGGGACGCCGCCTCAGCATGGCTTGACGAGCGGTGCCATGTCAGCATCCGGGATTCGAACTGGCAAAACCCTGGAACTGGTGAAACCCTGGGCTGTCGAAGCAGCTGTGGCTTGTCTTTTCATTCTCTTAACAGCATCTTTTTCAGAGCAGAAGTTTTTCTTTTTTTTTTAAAGATTTTATTTTTCCTTTTTCTCCCAAGGCCCCCAGTACACAGTTGTGTATTTTTAGTTGTGGGTCCTTCTAGGTGTGGCATGTGGGATGCTGCCTCAGCATGGCTTGATGAGTGGTGCCATGTCAGCATCCAGGATTCGAACTGGCGAAACCCTGGGCCGCCGAGTCAGAGCGCACAAACTTAACCACTTGGCCACGAGGCCGGCCTCAGAAGTTTTTCTTTTAGATTGGCGTCTGAGCTAACATCTGTTGCCAATGTTCTTTTTCTTTTTTCTTTTTCCCCTTCTCCATCCCAAAGCCCCCTAGTACATAGTTATACTAGTTGT